TCGCGCTGCAGGGCCTCGTACAGCAGCGCCACGTCCCGCGCGCGGCGACCTCCGCCCGCTCCTTCGGCTTTGGGCGGCCCCGGCGCGCCGCCCCCCGACGACGCCAGCTCTTCGGCCTCCAGTTCCAGGATGTGCTCGTCGGCGCGCGCCAGCTCGCGCTGCTGGATCAGGCTCAGGATCTCCAGCACTGCGGGGGGCAAAGGGGCGGTCAGGGCAGGGAGCTGGGCCCCGGACGAAGGAAGGGGTGGGGAGGTGAGGGGAGGAGGCTGGGGAGAAGGAAAAGGTGTGAGGACAGAGAGGAGTCAGCATTAACAGGAAGGGTCAGGAGAAGGGGTGTGGGGGAGGGGGCAGGGGAAGGAGGAAGGAGGGCTGGGGAAGTTGAGGATGATAGGGATGGAGGGAGGAGTAGGGACCAGTCTTGAAAAAGGGGGTCAAGAGTAGAGGATGCACAATTGACCTCTCCCGGTATTGAGCAAAGACGAATGAAGAAAACCTAAGACGCATGGAAACAATTAGTCCAAGGACTAGTGGACCATGGGAACCGGCACCTCAGCCTATAGGACTGTGTTTGTTGTTGTTGTTAGGCGCTTGGAGTTGTCTCCGACTCATAGCGACCCAATGTACAGCTGAACAAAACACTCCCTGGTCCTGGTGCCAGCTCCACAAACCCTGCTATGACCATGAGACTAGAACTAGATGGTGCCTGGCTACAATTGTCAACCACTCCCAGAAGGGACCAGTGCAGATCTTGGATAGAGCGGGAGAACAATGTGGAACAAAACTCAAAATCATTAAATAAATAAATAAACAAAAAGACCAGGCTTATTGGTCTGAGAGAGCCAGCCTGGTAAGACCCCTGAGATTAGTTACCCTTCAGGCCTGAAACTGAACTCACTCTCGTGGCTTCCAGCCAAACAATAGACAGGCATAAGGGGTGAACATTTACACGAGGTAGATAAACTCCTTGGAGCAATTGATCATGGTCTGGAAGGGTCTGAGATGCTAATAAGGTTCCAGGTCAGCTGTTCCAAGGTTCTTAGGCCCTGAAGCGTCCTGGATGGGGTTCCACGCACGCTCACCTGGGGTACACCTGGTTGTGCCAATGCAGTAGGGTGTAGCGGTCGGCCAGCGGCAGCCGGGCAGAACAGAAGGGCAGTGTTTGCACAGGGAGACAACTCAGGGGGGACAGGAATGCACAGGAAAGAAGGACACAGGGAAGAGGTAACCACAGGGAGGAAGTGGGGAGAGAGCTGTTACACTGTGGGGATTGCAGACAATGTCATGAGACCAAATGTGTATGAACTGCTGTACGGAAAATGAATTTGCTCTGTCAACTTTCACCCAAATCACAATAAAAATAAAAATAAAAGAGAGGGAGAGGGAGAGAGTGGAGGATGGAGGGATCAGAGGAAGGAGACTGGAGAGAGGAGGGAAATTATAGGAGGGGAGGGAGCCAGCTGGGTGGGGAGAAGGGGTAAGGGCGAGGCCAGGCCAGGACCTGGGGAAGGGGGTCAGTGGCTGAGGGGAGGAGGGGCTGAAGGATGGAGAAGAGGGGAGGGTTCGAGAAGGATGGGGCAGAATGGGAGGGGACCAGAGAGGGCCCGGGAGGGAAGAAGAGGTTTAGAGATTGGAGAGGGAGTCTGGATTGGGGAAGGAGGTCAATAGACCGGAGGGGGTCAGGAGACAAGGGAGGGTACGTGAGAAGGGGGAGGAGTCAGAGGAGGCAAGGGGGAGGGTAGGAGGATGAGGGAGGGGGTTGGGGTGGGGCCAGGAATGGAGAAGGATCCAGGGAACAGGTCAGGGAAGCGGTGAAGGTCTCAGAGAATAGCTTAAGGAATAGGGAAGAGGTTAAGGGAGTTGAGGGGTCGTGTAGGAAAAAACATCAGGGGCTAGAGAGAGGGAACATGGGGAGGGGTGAGGAATAGGGGAGGGGCCTGGGAAGGTGGGAGGAGGTGAGGGAGGGCAGTGAGAGCCAGGTGAGGGGGCAGACGGATGGAGAAACCCAGTGGGTAGGTTGGAGGCTCTGCACTAGGTGACATGTTAAGCCCAGAGATGGTATCTTTTGGGGTGGAGATGGCTGCAGGGTGATCTAGTATTCCGATGAGTTCAGACGTCCCCCAGATAGAGGAGTCCTGGGATTGACGGGCTTCTGAGAGAAGAGGCAGAGGGAGGGTCCCAGCGGCCTAGGGTTACCCCTGACACCTCCTCCCCCTCCGCTTCCTCCCTGGCAGAGAAACTATTTCCTGGCCAGCGCTATTTCTGCCCATCCGTTTCCAGAAGGCGGGGCTCCCGTTACCCCCCTCCTTACCTCCCCCCCACAGTGCCCTCCCAGTCCCCAGGGAGCCGAGGCTGAAATAGCCTCTGGCCAGGATGTGGAGGGCATCAGAGATGATGACCGGGTTCTCCTGAGGTCTCCAGCCCTGGGGCAGCCTTTTCCCAGAAACAAGGAAGGGGTGGAAGAGTTGCAGATGGGACAGGGTTGGTGTTGGGGATGGAATTGCAAGCATGGGATGAGGATGGGACTGGAGATGAGGAAGGTAGGGGTCGGGTTGGGCGTTTGTGATAAGGACGAGATTGGGGTTGGAATCAGTCAAGGGTGAACATGAACAAGGATGTGAGAATGGCACTGGGGTTTGGGATAGGGATGGAGTGGGAGATGTGGACGGAGATGAGTTAGGGTGAGAGGTGAGGATGGGTAGGGGTAGAATGAGTGATGTGAATTTAAAGGTGTAGTTGAGACACACATTAGGGTTGGGGGTAGGACTGCAGACAGTTAAAGATGGAGGTTGGGGAGGGGGCTTAGGATTGGAAGGGAATTGAGACCAGGATTGGGGATGGAGATGGGATGAAAGAGGAGTCAGAGAAGGTGGGAGGAGGTGAGGTGGAGGAGATGGAGGATGGGATTTGGCTCGAAATTGGGGGCTGGGGAGGGACCAGGGATGGGGATAAGGTTGAGTAAGGAGGTTGAGGAGGACATTGGGGTTGATGGTAGATGTGGAGATGGACCTAGGTTTAGGGTTAGGAGTGAGACTGAGGAAGGAAAAGGGGTTGAAGGTGGACCTGAGGATGGGATGGGAAATGAGATTGGAGAAGAGGAATGGGACATGAGATGGGACTGGAATTGGGATTGGCATGGTCTTGAACATAGAGATGAGGTTCAAGGTGGCCTTTGGAGAAAAAGGATGGGTTAGGGACAAGCCCGTGGGTGTCTCTCCAGTTGGAGATTGTTGATGGAGTTGGACTACGTATGGGTGGAAATAGAAAAGGCATCAAGGAAGACATTGTGGTTGAGGAGGGAGAAGGGTGGTGAGACCTGTCAGCAGATGCCGTTGGAGGATGGAGGTAGAGGCTGAGGATGGGGATGAGTTTGAAGATGAAGCTTGAGCAGGAGTTGAGATAAGGATGAAATTGAAGGCAGAGGCCAGGGACAGGTTTAGGACTGGGATGCAGTTAGGGTTGAGATTCAGGGTGGGGATGGAAAAAGGGAAATGACTGGAGATACAGGAGGAGGCTGAAGATCAGGTTGGGGTTGAAGTTTGGGGCTAGGGTTGAGGCCAAGGATGGGATTGAGGGGAGGTATGGGGGTAGGAAGGAACTCTGGTAGCATAGTGCCTAAGGCACCGGACTGGTAACCAGAAGGCAGGCGGTTCAAACCCACCAGCCACTCCTCGGAAGGAAGGTTGGGCATTCCTACTTCCGTAGTGATACTGCCTGGGAAACCCAAGGAGGGGTCGCTTTGAGTCGGGGCCGACTCGATGGCAAATAACAACAACAACAGCAATGGGGGTAGGGAGGGACATGACATTAAAAGTGGATGATGCTAGAGATGAGATTGAGGTGGAGGTGGGAGAGGGAAAGAGGGTTGAAGTTGAGAATGAGGAAGAGATTGGAGTTGGGCCTGAAGCTGAGGGTCGGCATGGTATTGGACATGGGGTGAGGATGAAGATGGCAGGAGGGAATGGGGTGGACGGGAAATGGCTGAAGTTGAAGTGCTGGTCATTAGGACTGTGCTGGGGAAGGCTTTGGAGTTGAGGTTAGAGCAGGAAGTTGGAGATGTGAATGGACATAGGGTCACAGGTGGAGGCTGAGTTGGGGTGAAGTATGAAGACTGAAGACAGGATGGCCAAGTGTGGAGATGGACATGGGCTCTGTGGTTCTTCCAGGCCAGGGCTCCTACTCACCTGACAATGGCTCCTTCATCTTTGGGGGCTCTGAGACCTTGGGTGGCGGCTCAGGAGCCGCTTCCCCTGCGGGCACCACCCTCTCAGCCAGCGACGCACGTCGGGGCTTGGGCCCACGCCCCAGTCTCAGGAAGGCCAGTCTCCGGGCCGTCTCCCCAGTGACTTCGTCTTCGCCCTGCGGTCGGATCCCCTGAAGCCGGGCCAGGAGCCCAAAATCAGCTGAACTCCTGCGGAACCCAGGGCCCAGCACGCGGCCCAGGAAGGAACGAGGCTGCCCGTCCACCGGGCTGCCTGCCCGCTTGCCCGGGGCCCAGCCCAGCCGGAAGGGGGCCAGGCCCGCCAGCTTCTCCAGGGTGGCCCGGCGGCGACAGGATGCCCCCATGGGCAGCGTCCCCAGCTCCCCGACCTCGTCTTCTGTCAGCCCTGGGGCTTCCTCAAAAGGGTTCCGAGATGTCCTCAGGGGCAGGGTCCCCGCTCGGGGCACCTTTGAGTCTGCCACCCCTAGACTCTTCAGAACAGGCATTTTGATGGGTGGGCCCTGGGAAATAAACAGCAGTGACCATGATTGGTATTGGTGACAGTAGCTCTGTGTGTACTTGCGTCTGTGGCAGGCACTGGTCCGGAAACCAAACCAAACGCACTGCCATTGACTCAGTTCTGACTCACAGAGATCCCTCCTTGGGTTTCTGAGGCAGTATCACTACAGAAGTAGATTGCTCCATCTTCCTTCCGAGGAGTGGCTGGTGGGTTTGAACCGCCAGCGTTCTGATTAGCAGTCAAGTGCCTTAGGCACTGCACCACCAGAGTTCCCTCAAATCTGTATAGTCTTGTAGAAAACAAGCAAATTCCTTGCCACTGAGTCGATCACAACTCGTAGTGGCCTCCATTGGGTTTCTGAGGCTGTCAATCTTCACAGAACCAGATTATCTCATCTTTCTTCCACAGAGCAGCTGGTGGGTTTGAACCACCGACCTTCTGGTTAGCAGCCAAATGCCTTAAGCACTACACCACCAGAGCTCCTACACAGGCCTGTGAGGTGGGGACTATAACTAGCTCTATTTGGCAGGGAGCTCTGGTAGCATAGTGGCTAAGACACTTGCCTGCTAACCAGACGGCTGGCGGTTCAAACCCACCAGCCACTCCTCGGAAGGAAGGT